GACCTCTATTCAATATATAGCAAGCAGTGTCAACAGCTTCTCCCCAAAAACTCTTTGGGAGACCACTCTCAATGAGCATCGTCCTCGCCATCTCCTCAAGAGTTCTATTCTTCCTTTCTACAACACCATTTTGTTGAGGTGTTCTAGGGGCTGAGAAGTTGTGATTAACTCCATGTTCCCTACAATAATCAATAAAGTTAGCATTATCAAATTCAGTACCATGGTCTGATCTTACCGAGACCAGCTTGTGGGTGAGCTGGTTCTCCACTTGTTTCACCAATGTTACCCATTCTTCAAACGTTTCATCCTTTGTGTGTAACATCATTACCCAAGTGTACCTAGAATAATCATCAACCATAACACAGACATATCTATGACCTCTTCGACTTTGTACTCTCATTGGACCACACAAGTCAATATGTACAAGTTCGAAGGGTCTGCTGGTACTCATAATAGTTTTAGGCTTAAAAGAATTTTTGACCTGTTTCCCCCTTACACATTCAGAACAAACTTTATCAGCTTCATACTTAATGTTAGGAAGGCCTACAACTAAGTCACGTATTTTAAGTATGTTTAGAAGTGTTAGGCTAGCATGTCCAAACCTCTTATGCCAAATCCATTGATTATTGTCAGAAACAGCTCTCAAACAGATGGACTTGTCTTGAGGGATTTTATCTAAGAAGGTGATGTAAACATCATGCTTCCTGGTTCCCTCACATACAAGTTCTCCTGTTTGTGAGTTAACTATGTGACATAGGTTGGCTTGAAACTCAACTCTATTACCTTTGTCACATAATTGAGAAATACTCAAGAGATTATGTTGCAAGCCTTCAACATAATAAACATCATCTATTGCGTTAGAAAGTGTCTTACCAACCTTACCTAAACCAGTGATGGTTCCCTTGCTGTTATCCCCAAAGGTGACACTTCCTCCATCAAAGGCCACTAGTGAAAGGAATTGATCTTTATCCCCGGACATGTGTCTTGAGCAACCACTGTCCAAATACCAATAGGTGTCTCCCTTCACTCTAGCCTGCAAGAGTAAATCAAACATTAGATTTAGGAACCCAAACATACTTGGGTCCCTTTTCAACAATATTAACAACTTGTTGATCCTTTCTTCTCCAAACACACTTTGCACCCTTGCTGTTCTTATTAGCACTAATTTTCTTAGCTGGACATTCATGTATCTTATGTCCATTTTTACCACAATGAAAACACACATGCATCTCTTTAGTCATGACATACTTGCCTCGTTGATATTCTTTGATCCAGGTGGTTTCTCTGGGAGACCAGTTAGTCCTGGTTCTCTGTCTAGTATAACCGAGACCAACTTTTCCTCTGTTTCCTCTTGATGAAGTCAGGTAATTTAAGGATTTTTGAGCATTCAATAATTTGTCCACATGTCTATGACTATCATTAAGTTCTTTTTCTCTGGTTTCAAGTGTCTTAGTCAACAATTCGTTTTTCTCTTTAAGAAAATCAAAGTTACTTTTTAAAGCTTCGAATTGTAGATTAAGCTTTGAAACCATACGGTCAATAGACATGTCAACAACCACTGGTTGCTTGTCCTTTTTCAGTTGATTGATTTCCGCATGCAAATCACAAATATTACTTTCATACTTATCAATCATATTACTGACATCTACACTGGTACCTGTAGGGGAAACAGTGAACTGTGCAGCTTTAAGTGAAGCAATTTCCTTGTGAGAATTTTCCAGGTTGTAAGCCAATGTTTCAAAGGCCTTCAACAAGGAAGTTCTAGTACATGAATTTGCTTTACTTATAGCTACTGAAAAATCAAGAGTATCACTAGTGGTTGATAAGTCTCTAGGGAACCAGGAGGTCAGATCCTCTTCACCATCAATTGGTTCAAACGATCTTTCCTTTTCTAGTTCCACTTTACACTTGTCCAATTCAACCTCTAGTTCTGCTACTTGATTTTTTAGTTCATAACAGACTCCTTCTAGATGATCACAGCTAGCAATAGAAATATTACATTCACCACTTTTTTCTTTTAATTCTCTTTTGCAAATTATGTATGTTTCACTTAATTTATAGCATTCATCTAGTAAGGAATCAATACAAGCAAGCATATTTTCTCTATCATATTCATGCATATCTTCTCTAATTTGCTCTAAGCTTACCTTGCGTTCATGTAGTACATCCTTCTTTGCCATAAAGCATTTGTTGAATGTACTGGTTCCCCCTCTGGTTCCTGGACCAGTGTTGTTTTCCTTGATGTTTGTAAAGGCAGTTAGGCAAACATCTGAGTTGGGTGATCCTTCTTCTTCATCTGACCCTGAGTCAGAGTCTCCCCACATGGAAGCTATCATGGCATTCTTGTATGCTTGTTTATCTCCGGATTTAGACTGTTTGTCATTCCACTTAGGACAATCTCGAATAAGATGTCCTTTTTCTCCACACTTGAAACATCCTGTAGAAGAAGAATTAGTGTTAGATTTTTTATAGTTTTTAAAATGCTTACCTTTGAAATTCTTTCTTTGATCTCGAAGAGATCTTTCAAATCTTTTTGCAATCATGCTAATTTCATCTTCATCATCTTCTACTGTTCCCTTAAGCGCCATGCCTCTTGCTGGTTCCTTCTCAGACTTAGAGTCAATCAGCATCTCATGAGTCATAAGGGAACCAATCAGCTGTTCCAGAGACAAGGTAGACAGATCCTTTGCTTCGTATACTGCTGTTACCTTGGCTGTCCATGCATCTGTTAAACTACGCAATAATTTTCTCACAAGATCCTCGTCAGATAAATTTTTACCAAGAGATCTAAGATCATTTACAATAGTCATAAACCTACGAAAGCAATCATTGATTTTTTCATTTTTATTCATGGCAAACAATTCATATTTAGACATGATTAAATCAATTTTAGACCGTTTTACCTCACTGGTTCCCTCAAACGCAAGTTCAAGGGTGTCCCATATCTCCTTAGCACTACTGCAGCCAGATATACGATTTGTTTCGGTCTCACCTATTGCTTGTTGTAGTATTGACATTGCCTTAGCATTCTTCTCCAGCAACTTGTGATCAGCAGTGACCAATTCGCTATCTTTCTTGGGAACCTGGTTCCCCTCAACATCTGTCTTGAGAATGATATTAGGACCATTTTTAACTACGAGCCAGCATTCATAATCAATACCCATGATAACATTCTGGATCCTGTTCTTCCACCAAGCATAATTATTTCCATTAAACTTGGGTGACTTGTTGTCATAACCGATTGCACTTAATTCTTGAGTACTCATTCTTAACTCCTCTAGATGTTACTCTTTCGAGAAGCTTAAGCTCTGATACCAATTGAAGGTTCAATGGGCACTCAAGAGGGGGGGGGGGTGAATTGAGTGTTAAGTAATCGTTAGCGATTTTTGCTTCTTTTCGGATTATGTGTAAGGAACCAGTTGTGCTGGTTCCCTTATGCAGCGGAATAAAACAAAGCAATAAAGAACACAACAAATTTAACGAGGTTCAGCCAACTCAGGCCTACGTCCTCCTATCCTAAGTCCTTTATTAATCTACTCCGAAAAACAAAGACAAAGAACACTCTACTGTTTCCCTACTCCGGGAACCAGTCTACCCCACACTCTACTCCGAGTGTGCTCTCGACTTACACTCGTAAGCCCAATGTGTTTGAACTCACAAACACTCACCCAGCCTTTAACCCCTTTGTTAAAGACTCAATACAAGAATCAAGAACTCTCCTTTGATCTCACTTCTACGAAGCTAATTAAGAGAAAATGTTTTTGTACTAGAATGCTCTTGTATATGACTTGATGAATGGGATTAGTGCTTAAGTATATGCTCTCAAATAATTGCTCTTTTTAATTTCTGGAGAGGCACACGAAATATGTGAAATAAGATGAGTTTATATAAGCTTAGATTCCTAAAACCTAGTTTCCTTAAATCACACAATCTTAGAGAATAAGATATATTGTAATTTTAGGAAAGTATTTATCTTATTTGATTTAATCACAAAGATAGAATCAATTAAGATAAATACTCCTAGTTTTTAGGTAACCAAGAATATTTCATCTTATTTCCAGCTGCACAAAATATTTTCAAAATAATCTTTTCGAAAAAATCTTTTTGTAAAATCTTTTTCCAAAACGGCAGCTCGAATATTTCGTACAGTGAACCTGGTTCCCCGACCTGGTTCCCTGAATTGAAACATGTTATGAAACCTGTTCCAACTTTGTACCAGATTTCATATCATACTTCAATATACTTTTAAGCACTTATATAACCCAAACATGCAAGCATACTACGGAGCATATTACATGAAAACCTAGATAACATATTAAAGCATAAATCGTCTTTTCTTCATGTAATCTTCAAGACTTGAATCTTCCTTGAATACTTCTATTATGAGCAAACAATCTTTCTTCGAAATATCTTCGAAAGGCTTCTATGCTCCAAGTCTTGGAATCAACTCAACTACTGCACATGTAACATGGTTAATGCACAATAAAAAGTATGTGACTGCTTTTCCGCATAGCAGTCAAGGAAACGGTTCATACTGGTTCCCCACCAGTACATAGCACATTTATCATCTAACTGTTTCCTGTATATAGATAAGTTAGTTCAATAGATAACTCATATAATCAATAACTTATCTAGGAAAACAGTGTTCTATTTTAGTTGGTTCCCCCAACTGTATTGAACACTTTCAAAGACCTGTTTCCCTTAGCTGTTTGTCATCATTCAAAACTATCAATCAAAACCTAAGGGACTCAACATTTTCCCAATTAGTTGACTAATAAATCAAGCGATTGAAGTTAAGTTGGAAAAACCATACTTTTTCCATCCAAAATTAATTGGAATCGGGAAAGAAGCTCTAACCACTTGAACTATCCCTCACTCTTTAATATAATATGACAAGTAAATTTAGACAGGTGGAGTATATTCCTATGCAAAAACAGATTGATAAACAAATAGATTAGTGATGGCACAAGTTTCGAACTATTATAAGTAACGATTATCACCTTCTATATTCGACATCCGCGATCCCAAGGCGTAAGAGTTGTTTGTCCTTGCCAGGCAAAGCCATGGCCCTAAAAGCTCTGCTACTTAGCACAAAATCAGTGGTGTTGCTCTTATCAGTATGAGTATCAGTCACTACTATCGTTGTTCCTGTCGTAGTGCAGATAGCACTGTTCTTGCATCTGATCTGCTCAACACAAAGCCAAAGTCAATCTAGCTAGTACTTCAGTACTTGTATCTTACTTCAATGATCAATGTAACTAAATCACCTACAAGAAACATTGTCGCCTCGAAAACAAGTATTTTCATGAAATCACACTGTTTCAACTAATGTAAAATGTAAAGTTTCTGTGTTTTTAGTTTGCACTTCCCCAAAGACATCAACATTCCCGTAACAAAGGCATTTATACAGTCTACCCAATATAAATCCATCCGTCTAAATTTAGTTGTCACATTGCCAATTCAAAACATTTAGCGTAGCATAGATCGATCGATTGATCATTTAATGAAACAGACAAGCTATACCTGAAAGCAGGCACCACATTTTTCACCATTAGAGTAAATAGAAGGAATAGCAGCAGCAACATGTCCACCATAGTAGTCCAGAGCAACAGGACCATACCCACAAGATCCAGCTGCATTAATTCAATAAATATAAGGTTAGCAATGTAATATTTTGAAAAAATTTCATCTGGGTTGTTGTTAATTAAGCCAAAAACAAAATTTACAATCAATTTGAGTTGAGAAAAGTGTGAGAAAATTACCAGAAAGACCTGCAGAGCTAGAAAAGAAAGTAGCTTTTGATAAAACACATTGATTACAGGCAGCAGAAGCAGAGGAGAAGAAGAGGAAGATGAAACAGAGTAGAATAGCCATTTTCATGGAGATTTGTTTTGAGATATTGAAATTGGGATGATGATGATTTCTATATATAGAAAGAAAATACGTAAAGTTTTATTTATTTTACTAAAATCAGTGTACTTTCTTTAGTGGGGAGGAGACAAAGCAATTTCGCAGAGCGCGGGAAAATTAATTAACAAATCAATTGCTTAAAGCATGGTTATATTTTACAACTAGCCTTTTGGCATGCCATGCACGGGTTATGCATAGGAAAATTAAAAAAGAAAAATCGTTAGCAATTTTTTGTCCCTTGGAAAATCAATGAATATTTTTAAATAATATTGTAATTTTTGCATGAGTGATTGATAAAATATCAATCAATTCAATGAAAGTTAAGCAATGCAATTGATGAAGAATGTTAAAGAGATTTAAATGTTAGAGATGAATGTGAACGATAGAGTGTTAAGGCAAAAGGAATTATAAAAATTCTCTCATGAAAAAATTATAATAAAATAAATTCAAGCGGTGAAGGAGAGGAGGACATGTGCAGATGTGCTGTATATAGTTTGTGTTTTCATGTAATAGGTATATAAGTACAGAGAAGCGGATTAATTAATTTAATTCAAGGTCTCTATTATTCAACATAAAGCGGTTGTTATTTATGCACTATTTAATTGAAAATTTAATTTTTACTTTTTATAAATCAAGTGTCGTCATTTCTATATATGTTTTAGTGTATAGCTTTTATTATTATTATTATTATTATTATTATTATTATTATTATTATTATTATTATTATTATTATTATTATTATCTTAAAAAAAATCTTAACTTATATAGGAGATATATATATTATGGCTAAGATGATATACAATTTTATATTCTTTCCATTTTTAAAAAATGCAAGAGGCGTTGACTTAATGTATATTGAAAATTGTACGATGTTCATATTATTTTTTACTAACTTAAATTTACCAAAATCAATTTTGATTTGGTAAATATATTGTGAATCTTGTGTAATCAATGTTTAAATAGTAAATGTCATGTAATGTAAAATGGAAAAAAAAAAGAAAAAAAAAATCAAAATAGTGATTTTGGAGGGAAAAAACAGCACCAGAAAGTGACATGTGTCACTTCCAGTGTCTGTTTTAATCTTAAGTTATATTGATATAGATCAATGATTAATCTGTATTTTTTTTTTTATATTACATAATTACATATCCTTAAAAAAAAAAAATTATATTATACTTCCTCCTTCCAAAAAAAATTGTCACAATTGATCTTGAATTTTTAATAATTTTTTTGATGTATATGTAGTTTTAATGATCAATATGGTTACTTCTTTCGTCCCCACATAAAAATCACATTTACTTTTTGCATAAATTTTTTAAAAGGTAAATAAATATTGAGTAATTACGAGTATTTATAAGACATAATGGTTATTTATTTGTAGTTACAGATATCAATGCGAATCTCCATACAAGAAGTGTGGGAAAGTACTAGAGCTAGGCATCGTGTTGTGCCAGGCCGCGGGCCAGCCCATTATTTTTTTTTTATTATTTATAGTTCTTTATATTATTATGGTTCTTTTTATTATTATAATATTTATTTTTATTGTTTTTATTTTTATTATTTATAGTTTTTTTAATTATTATTATTATTATTATGGGTCGTGCTGGCGGGCCAAAAGTTCGTGTCGCCCGCGGGCTCGTGCCGAAATTTATTTTTTTGTTCACGACACAGCCCACCCCTCGTTCCTCGTGCCGTGTCAGGCCGTGCCCGTGCCGCCCGCGATCTGGCCCAGCCCATCCCCATCTCTATTGGCAACTAAAAGAGTTGATATGTGTTGTATACTTGTATTCCCTTGATGAACAAATATGGTTTAAGGCACCATCAATCCATGTGGCCTTTTAGCCCCATGCTAGTTGGCTTAATTGTCATGATCAAGTTGATAATACGTAATTTTGACAAATAAAGTCAAGTAACATATGGATTGATAAATTAATAGGTAAATATTTCAAACAATCTCCTGTTATATTCAACATGTAAAAGTTTTATGTCCTTGTGGGACAAAGCCATGGCCATAAAAGCTCTACTTCTATGTTTAAATAGATCCCTTTTTTTTGGGTAGGTAAAAAGAAGGGTTATACTAGGTTGGAACTTTTTATAGGTCAATTCGGCTTGGCTTAGCAAGCTAAGCCCTTTAAAGACGAGAGAGGGGAATAGTAAAGGAATCCCACTCCAAATTACCTGTAGTGAGATTTAATCTCACGTAAAACATAAACTTTTCCACTGAATCAAACCTTGCTCGGTGTTCATATAAATTTATTAATAGTACAATAAAATTGTCACAATTGATTACTAGCTGGATTATACGAGATCTTAAACGGAGTAATTCACATGTTTTTTTTATTTATTTTTTACTCCGTACATGATTAAAAAAAACCTTTTAATTTAGATTGGCCGACACCTCGACAAGACTGACAAGCATCATATAAAACATAGTGAAATGGGGAAAGAAACTCAAAAGTAAAATAAGTTTTATGATAGATAAACATACAAAATCAGATAACTAAGGTATTACATGAAACCGAACCAGCCTAGCTTAGCCTGCGCCTTGGGCTTCTTTACTACAATAATGAGCTATGGTAACACTTATTACACACAAAAAAATCATCTAGACACACACTAACACTACTCAAAGTAGAACGATCAAAGGAGTGTGCACGAATTACTTCCAGGTTGTACAAGGAGCGCAACCAGTTAAGGCAACATTATTAATTTGCACACTAGTATTGTATACGGCACCAGGCCTCCAGTTCGCTGGCAATGCTTCATTAACATAGACAAATTGTGCATCGAAACCGGAATTGATGATAAATCTGAGCATTAGCTTCCCGCTTGGAGCATTGTTTGTGTCAAAGACTGCCCCATAATTTCGGCTCAGGGAAACCCAATTACTTGGGTGATCAACCTATATGCAAAATATAGAGAAAACAGTAGAAAAATGAGTTTAATTAGACTACATTTTTGGTAAGTCAAGGTTTTATTAGAGATGTAACGATTTATTGCTTACCGAGGCTACGTCGCCACCTAAGATAGAGGTTTGACCACCTTGGTAGAGGACTTTGACTGCCAAAAAGTTAGGAAATTTGCTGAACTTTTCCACCTGAATCGCTATGTTTTTGCCTTTGTAAACACAGGGTACCCTGTTGCATTATTGTGTATATTACTATAAGAAAAGCATTATTTAAATCAATCTCTTGAGCCATATCTTAATACAATTAATAAAGTTAACGAGAGGCAAAATGTGGTACATATATAGTATATTAGTATATACCCCTAATAAACAAATTTTAGTTGGACTTGGGTACATGTGCTACTGACTAAATATGGACTGATAAAAGTATAGTATAAATATAAATTGATACTGAGTAAAGCAGTTGATCAATAATGCCACAAGTTTCAATCAATCTTAAGTGACGATTATTACCTTTTATATTCGACATCTGCGATCCCAACGCGCAAGAGCTGTTTGTCCTTGCCGGGCAAGGCCATGGCCCTAAAAGCTCTGTTACTTAGCACAAAATCAGTGGTGTTGCTCTTATCAGTCACTACTATCGTTTGTGCCCTTGGTAGTGCAAATAGCACTGTTCTTGCATCTCATCTGCTCAACACAACACCCCAGTCAATATAGTACTTGTAGCATCAATGATCACTTTAATTTAACTGATTAAAAGAAGATTTATCGCCTCCAAAACAATAGATAGTTTCAGCTAATGTAATGTGAAATGTAAGTTTTCTCTGTTTTTAACTTGAACACCCCTAAAGCAATCAACACCCGGTTACAAATCAGGTGTTAGTTATAATAATCTCAAGGCATGTACTAGTATATTCAGCTCAATTGAACTCAATCCGTCTTGATTTAGTTGTCACGTTACTAATTCAAATCATTTAGGCATTTAGCCTAGCATAGGTCGACCTTGTAGCGAAACAGATAAGCGTTACATGAAAGCAAGCACCACAGTTTTCACCATTGGAGTAAATAGAAGGAAGAGCAGCAGCAACATGTCCACCATAGTAGTCCAAAGCTATGGAACCATACCCACATGCTCCAGCTGCATTTTTTCAAAAAATTAAAAACTACCCTTTTCACATTTTGATAAATTAAATCAACATTTGGGTTGTTGTTAATTAAACCAAAAACAAAAGATTACCTGAAAGACCATTATTGCTAGAAAAGAAAGAAGCTTTGGATAAGACACATTGATTACAAGCAGCAGAAGCAGATGAAAAGAAGAGGAAGATGAAACAGAGTAAAATAGCCATTTTCATACAGATTTGTTTTGTGATATTGAATTTAAGATGTTAATGCCGCTTTCTATATGTATATATAGAAAGAAAATATAGGTGAAGTATGGTTTATTTTATTTACTCATATAAGTGGTACGGAGTACGAGTACTTTCTTTAGTGAGGAGGAGACAACGCAATTTCGCAAACGTGGGAAAATTAATTAACAACTCAATTGCTTAAAAGATGATTAATTGATTTAAATAAAAGTAATATTCATTTCATCATGGTTTACATAGAATAAGGAATTTCCAAATTGGAGTAGTCACCATTTCACCAATCTCACCATACATGCAAGTACAGTATTTTTTATTATTATTGATTGAAAATATCTAATTTTGAGAAAATTGAGAAGATGAATAATTAAAGAAAATAATTATTCTTGCAGAGAGTTTATTATTCAGAAAGGATTGTATATTTGTATTTCTATTAATTACCATTGATCACCGACGAAAGGGCATAGCAGCTACACGTGACTTTGTCTCAAATTGAGCAATTTATAAATATATTTACTAGTATTCTAAATTGATCAAGCCATTGATTAAGGTACGGTGTTTTCCATATAGAGTTTAATTTTAGTTATCTCAACTCACAGCAATTGTATATCAATCATGTGATGGGGGTTTGATTCCTCACAACCCCTATTCCTGTGATAGGGTGGGGGTCCTTCCTCGTAGTTAATCGTTTAACAAAAAAAAAAAAAATTGTATATCAATCAGAATAATGATATTCACAAGGATTGACATGGTTCGGGTGGGGGATTCGAGAGCTTTTTCACTATAATGGAGAAAGAACGAGAGAATAATACAAGGAGTCCTAAATCTAATGGCTCAAAAGGTGTATTCGAATTGATCAAATAAAGGGTCATTTTATAACATAAGGAAACCCTAATTAAACCCTAAAATTGTTCCCCAAGTATTCTTAAATAGTCGTCATAGAAAAGATATAATTTTAGGAAAATTATCCCTAAAACAATTAAGCTAAAACCGGACCAAAAAAACTGAAATTTTGACTAGGCATGGGCGTGCCTCTTTTAGGCACGGGCGTGCCTAGTCGCGTACTTCATCAGCATATTTCCAGCAGCGTCAGTTCTTCTTAAAACGGCCATAACTTTGTCGTTTCTTATCAAAATTAGGCATATGACCTATCGTTGGAAAGATTTTGAAACAAGATATCACCTCCAACTTGAATCATTTCAAAATCATTTATAGTTTGAGAGATATCTGCATTCAAAGTCAGCCCTACTAAATTTCGAGTCACAATTTAACACTATATGATATTCCCTAACATTAATATTTTTGATTACCTATTAGGCTATATGTATAAATTGCATGGTAACATTGATTTTGATGTACAAGAAAATACAGGGTTAAAGAGCAGGATACTCCATATGTAAATAATGCAAAAAATCATAATGAAACAAAATAATTTATGAATACATACTTAACACAACCCATATGTTTTCTTGGATACTTTTGGTGAGCTATGTTTAGTTTTATCTAACATATATAATCCATTGCTTAAAAAAAAAAGTATATAATCCATCATCCGTGTTTTAAAACTAATGTTACATTTGACAAAGGCACAACCACAACCAATAAGTTAAGATATAATAAGATCATGAAGAGAAATAATATTTGGTGAAAAAAAAAAAAAAAATCCAGCCAGCCTTACGACTTGGGGATTTTTTGCTACAATTTTGAGCATTGGTAACGCTAATAAGTACATAAAAACTATCCAGACATACAACACTACTCAGTTTATTTCCAGGTTTTACAAGGAGCGCAACCGTCTAAAGCAATATCACTGATTTGCACACTAGAGTTGTATACCACACCAGGCTTCCAGTTTGCAGGCAGGACACCTTCGTTGGTATAGAAGTACCGGGAATCGAAGCCGGAGTTAATGATAAACCTGAACACCAGTTTCCCGCTTGGAGCATTGTCTGTGTCCCAGACTGCCCCATAGTTTTGGCTCAGGTAAACCCAATTACTTAGATTATCAACCTATATGCAAATTATAGCCGAAAAACAGTACAAAATTAGTTATAATATGATGAGACTACATTTTTTGCAAGTCAAGATTTTATCCGAATATGTAACGCTTAATTACTTACCGAGGCTACATCACCACCTAAGATAGATGTCTGACCACCTTGGTAGAGGACTTTGATTGCCAAATAGTTAGGAAATTTGCTGAACTCTTCCACCCGAATCGCCAAGTTTTGACCTTTGTAAACACAGGGTACCCTGTTGCATATTGATCACAATATTGCATGTTAGCAAGTGTTAGGCAACTAAGAGAGGCAGAATGTGTTACAAAACGGTCTTTTTTTGCCTCATCCTAGCTGACTTATTTGACACGCATATTAAGTCAACTAATTTGAAAAATAGATATTTCCTGTGTCCAAAACTAAAGATAATGTTGATAATGTAATTTGAAATAATCTCGACGACAAATGAAGTAAAACATGAATGCTGATAAATAAATCAGTAGATCAACGGAAATAAAAACTTCAAACAATCTGAAGTAACAATTATCACCTCTTATATTCAACATCCGCAATTCCAACATGTAAGAGTTGTCGATCCTTGCCAGGTAAAGCCATAGCCCTAAAAGCTCTGCTACTTAGCACGAATTGTGTAGATTTGGTCTTATCAGTGTGAACATCAGTAACTACTATCTTAGTGCCTTTTGTACTGCAAATAGCGCTGTTGTTGCACCTTATCTGCTCAACACAACACCTGAGTCAATCAGTGAGTGTTTGTAGCATCAATGATCAACTAAAATTGAATCATTATCGCCTCGAAAGCAAGTAGTTTTCATGAAATATTCTTAACATATGTACATAAATTTAACTAGTAGAGAACGTGCATTTTCTTATACAACATCAAATAAACTAGGGGATGGGATACCTGAAAGCAAGCACCACAACCTTCACCCTTCTTGTAGATAGAAGGAAGTGCAGCAGCAACATGTCCACCATGAAAGTCTAGTGCATAAGGACCATATCCACAAGCTCCACCTGCATTTGTTTAACAAATTAGAGGTTAACCACTTCATTTTTTCACTAATTATCATCTGGGTTGTTGTTAATCATGCAAAATTATACTTGAGTTGACTTTTGATATCTCTAATTGTATGATTGCCCCTAGAATTATACGATGTACATTTTCAAAATATATGTGTCGAGATGAATTAATGAAAATTATGAAATACTAACATAACTTTATGTTTTTATTATGGATGGATGCCAAAAAGTCAAAACGAATCAACAAAAAAAATAGAGAAATTATTAAGATAATGAAGGGATGGAGAATTACCAGAAAGACCTTTAGAGCTAGCAAAGAAAGCAGCTTTTGAGAAGACACATTGTTTACAAGTAGCAGAAGCAGATGAAAAGAAGAGGAAGAATAAGCAGAGTAAAATACCCATTTTCATACAATCATACAGCAGATTTGTTTGTGAGATATTGTAATTAGGGTGGTGATGATGCTTGTTATATAGTGCACTTTCTTTAAATGAACAAATACAAACAAAATACGCAAAGCGCGTGAAAATTAATCACCAACTTAATTGCTTAAAAATGGTTATATGATTAAGGAGTGTTTGGGTCCAATTTAGTCCAATTGGGCCTGGTCACTGAATGATCCAATTAAAAGCCCAAGGCAAAGGTTCAACTCTCCAAATATGCTAAAGTCAGAAATCAACATCCTCAAAGCCATGTCAAGGTCAGTCAACGGCCCAATCAGCTTGGCCCAGCCCAACTGATTTCCGGGCCCAATCCGCCTCCTTCATTAGCCAAGGTATAAAAGCCAACAATTTGGTCAATTCTTGGTAAGAGTAAGACAAAGACAAAGACAAAGACAATAAGCCTCAAGCAACTAAACTCTTGCACAGCTTTCTCTCTCTAATATACTGACTTAAGCATCGGAGGGGCCTTCCTCGGCGTCCCCCCCGAGGCTAGTTTACGTGTATTTGTTGTGCAGGAAACCCTCGGCTCCGGCGTCGTTCGGACCGAGACCAAGTTCCCTCAAGATAAAAGGATCTTCCGAGATTCGATTGTTTTCATCCGAAACAATTTGGCGCCGTCTGTGGGGAACGCTACTAAATTTCGCGTCAGTCATCAAACACTCCGGCAGTCGCCATGACTAAGAGTGGAAAGAGTTCCAAGAAGGCTAAGAAGGGAGGAGGCCGGATTACGGTGAGGGAACGCCAGCCGGTTTATCCCTCCCCGGAGCAAGCCTCTTCCGAATCGGAGGCCCCCATTTCTCCGGAAAGGGAAGCCTCAAGAGGTCCTAGCCTCCAGGAGGAGAACACCTCGCACCACACTCGGCAGCCGGGGCCATCCCCGAGACCGAGTGGCTCAGGTGCGAGGAACTCCCCGCCGCGCCATAGCGTGCAATCCAGGTCACATCCGCGGGAGACTCCTCTCTCCGGACCCTCCACCGAGGAAGTGGCCAGAGCAGTGGCCATCTGCATGGAGTTCCTTAAAGCTCAAGGGGCTCCAATCCAGATGCCTGATGATCACCAGCCGAGAAACCTGAAAAGGAGGATCGGTCAGGATGATGGTGGACAAGTTCCACCACATAGACAGCTCGGCCAGAGGTGGCGAGGGGACACCCGAAACTCCAGTAAGGAGAGGAGGAGGAACCCTCAACCCTCTGACCACTCCGAAGCTCAGAATTCCATGGGGCCCTCCAAGGACCCGGAATTCGCCCGCCGAAGCGTTCACGAACGCTTGGGTTCGAGGGAGGTGAGTGTGCATAGCCGCCTCACCTTCCCAGAGGATACCGGACCCCACCCAACCTTGTCTCAGCCGGGGACGAAAACCACTTCCACCTCTGAGAGAGGAGGGAGCGAGGTCCCTAAGGCCGGGTACAAGGGGAAGGCGGTCATGGTTCCATCGAACTCGCCCTTCCAGAAGTGGATTCTGGAAGAGCATGTGCCAACGGTCAAAATCCCGGCACATATTACTTACGATGGTACCTCAGATCCTAAGGATCACATTGCCTCTTACGAGGGGCACATGTATCTGAACCCGAGGTCTGAGGCTACCTGGTGTAAATACTTTCCTACGACCCTCAAAGGTGTTGCCCAATCCTGGATCACCAAAGGGCTCAAGGAAGGCTCCATAACCGGTTGGAACGACCTCTCCAACAAGTTCAAGAGCAAATTCTCTACGGCCAACCGCCGAGAGAAGACCACTGCAGAGCTAATGAGTCTGCAGCAGGCGGAGGACGAGAGCCTCCGCGACTATCTGACTCGCTTCAGCAACGAGTCATCCGGAATCACAAGCCTGGATCAAGGCCTGGCCGTGTTCGCGCTACGGAACGGCCTCCAAGCTGGAAAGTTCCTGGACTTCATGGTCATGCATCCCCCGCAGACCCTGGAGGAAGCCTTGGAAGCATCGGATAGGTTCATCCGAGCCGAGGAGTGGAACAGATCCAGGTCTCAGTCTCGTCCGAGAATTGAGAAGCCGAAAGGGCAGCAGCCCGAAGTCTCGGCGCAGAGGAAAGGGAAGGCTAAGGCCTCAGAACCGTCCTCTGCTGCCGAGCCGAAGAAGGAAAGACACTTTCCCTACACGGGAAGGTACGATTCATACACTCCACTCTCCCTTCCCCGTGCTAAGATTTTCAGCACGACGAAGGACGAGGGGAGATTCAAAAAACCTCGTCCGTTGCCTCCCTGGCATCAGACGAGGGGAAAGGACCAGTGGTGCGAGTTCCATGACTCACCCGGACATCGCACCGAGGACTGCGTCCAGCTGAAGGACCAGATTGAGGATCTGGTCCGCAAGGGGTACCTGAGCCGATACCTCGCGGACAGGCGCGAGGAGAAAAAAGCTGAAAAAGATTCTCGGCAGGACCTCAACTTCGCTCGGAAGAAGGATAAGGGACCTCAGGGCAAGGAGTCCCTCGACATCCTAGTTATTTCCGGGGGAATCTCGCGAGGCACAGCCAAACGCCAACTGAGGGGTCTAACCCATCAGATTCATCAGGCTGAGCTTCGGCAGTCCCAGTCACCGGCGCCGAACATCCTGTTCACAGCCGAAGACTGTGAGGGGGTGGTATACCCCCACGATGACCCACTAGTAATCATTCTGGGCATCGCCAACCGCAACGTCTGGCGGACCCTCGTCGACGGCGGTAGCGGGGCGAACATCCTCTTCCGAGGAGCGTTCGACCAGCTGAGGATGGGAGCCGAGCACCTGGACCCCGCACCCTACCCGGTGTCTGGATTCAACGGCTCTTCATCGTATCCTGACGGGAAGATTACACTTCCTGTCACCATCGGCGAAGGCCGAGCAGCTAGGAATATCATGGCCGAATTTTTGGTCGTAGATGCTCCATCTGCATACAACGTGATCATGGGGAGACCCCTCATTCACGGCATTCAAGGAGTCGTCTCCACGTATCATCAAATCATGATATACGTTTCAGACGAGGGACGCTCCGAGAAAATAAAGGGCAGTCAAAAAGAAGCCCGCCGATGCAATCACCTCAAGCCATCCACGTCTCGCCGAGGCGACCGTGGCGATGGGGAGGAAAAGCACCGGGACCGAAACGCCAAAAAGCCGAGAGGCTCAGACGTTTCGGCTAATGAAGCCCCAGACAACGAGAAATCTGATGGGGGCCAAAAGGCTGACTCCGCCTCAGAGCCGAACGACTCTGATGGCCAGCCGCGGTCAGGAAAGTCTGCTAATATTGATAGCAGGCCGGAATTCGAGGAATCCAACTCTAAGAGCATGGAGACGGATGACCTGACCGAGTCAATAGAACTGACCGTAGGAGATCCGAACAGATGTGTTAGCATCGGGTCGTCACTGGAGCCAGACACCCGTGCGGCACTCGTCCAACTCCTACGGGCCAGTGGAGACGTGTTCGCCTTCTCAGCCGCAGAAATGCCCGGGATTGATCCGGACTTCGTCTCCCATAGGCTTAATGTCGACCCCTCCAGTCGACCCATTAAGCAGAAAAAGCGGAACTACTCCGCCGAAAAGAACCAGAACATCGCAGCTGAGGTCGATAAGCTCCTAGATGCTGGGTTCATTGAACCCTGTCAGTATCCGGAGTGGCTGGTCAATGTTGTAATGGTTCAGAAGGCAAATGGTAACTGGAGGATGTGCGTTGACTTCACGGACCTGAATAGGGCATGTCCCAAGGACTCCTATCCGCTGCCGAGGATCGACCAACTGGTCGACTCGACAAGCGGGCATGCTCTGCTCAGTTTCATGGACGCATTCTCGGGATACCATCAGATCTTCATGCACCCCGAGGACCGAGCTAAAACAGCGTTCATAACAAGTTCCGGGTTGTACAATTACAGAATGATGCCCTTCGGATTGAAAAATGCGGGGGCAACATATCAGAGGTTGGTTGATCAGGTTTTCGCCGAGCAAAAAGGCCGAAACATGGAGGTTTATGTTGACGACTCAATCGTCAAAAGCATAAAAGAAAAAAGATCATGTCACGGACCTAGCCGAAACCTTCGCCACCCTCAGAAAATACAAAATGAAGCTGAATCCGAAGAAATGTGTCTTCGGCGTGAAGTCAGGCAAGTTCCTCGGCTTCATGGTCAGCAAGAGGGGGATTGATGCAAACCCCGCCAAAGTACAAGCTGCTTTAGACCTCCCCGAGCCGAAGACAAAAAGGGATATTCAGCGTCTAGCCGGGAGAATGGCTGCCTTGTCCAGGTTCATCTCACGAGCCTCAGACAAAGGGCTCCCTTTCTTCAAGGCGCTGAAGCTCCAAAATTCAAAAGGCATTGAATGGGGAGACGAACAAAAGTCAGCCTTTCAGCAGCTCCGTGAACACCTGGCTCAACTCCCAACACTGGCAAGGCCAGTTGTAGGAGACATCCTATACTTATACGTGGCGGTCAGTCCAGCCACGGTAAGCGCGGTGCTGCTAAGGGAAGAAGAAAAAGTTCAACAGCCGATCTATTTCGTCAGCCACACCCTGACGGATGCCGAGACGCGCTACCCATTGTTAGAAAAAGTGGCTTATGCAGTGGTGGTGGCTGCTCGGAAGTTGCGACCCTATTTTGATTCTCATCAAATAGCGGTTCTAACTGATCAGCCGTTAGAGAAAGTCCTCGGCAAGGTTGAAAAATCCGGTAGACTAGCAAAGTGGGCTTTCGAGCTCACCGAGTTCAGTATCGGATATCAGCCGAGAACAGCCATCAAGGCGCAAGCCTTGGCAGACTTCTTGGCCGAGTGCTCCTATCAGGAGACTCTGGATGCAAGGAGGAAAATCTGGACCGTCTTCACGGATGGGTCCTCCACCGTGAACGGTTCGGGGGCAGGGGTCGTCATTACCTCTCCCGAAGGCAAAACCTTCGAGTATGCACTAAAATTTTCATTCAAAGCCTCTAACAACGAGGCCGAATATGAAGCAGCCATTGCTGGCTTAGACCTGTGCATATCGTTGGAAGCCGAGCATGTCTACCTCAAGACAGATTCTCAGCTGGTCGCCAATCAGATCCGGGGGGAGTATGAGGCTAAAGAGCCTTCAATGGCAGCTTACCTCACAAG